ATTACAAATACGTGAAAATTGTTTGTGTAATATTTATGTTATAAAACATTTTAATAAATACTAAGAAACAAAATATAAAATTGCATTTTTCTTTATAAATTTGTTATATCCCCCAAAGATATACAATAGATATAACTATTAAAAGTTAACTAATATTAAGAAATGGGTACTCGTATTGCATCCGCAATTACGACAGACACTGACCGCGTTAAAAAACGCATACGATGCGAGGTATACGCGGAATCAGAATTACGACAGATAATGACCGCGTTAAAAAACGCATACGATGCGAGGTATACGCGAAATCAGAATTACGACAGATAATGACCGCGTTAAAAACGCATACAATGCGAGATATACGCGGAACAGAAATTGATCAACGTGCAAGCAAAGCAGAAGGACTTTGAATCTGCTTCGCTTGCACCTAGATTCTCGACCGGGGAAACCTGTTGCCAGGCACCCCTTCCGATCGGGAAAACTCCAAAAAACAACGATATAAAAAGAGAGTAGAGACGCGACAGCTCGCTCAGTCGCAGACACAAATAATCGCTCTAACCACGATCTCGCTAAACCGCGCGCGCACCTAGCATCGACTCGCAGTTGTGCGCGATACGCGGAGTAATAGAAAGTCAGTGCCGCACACACGATAAAGCTTCAGTGTATTAATAGTGGAATAAAATAAAGACCAAGTGGTTGAAGTTGAATAAAGAATTTTAATACAAAAAGTGTAGTGCATTTTCTACAAACACCCGACAAGTCCTGACGCCCCGGATTCCCATCCCAATTTGGCGCGACCCTTAAGTGTCTCTCCCGAGGCACACAACAAATTTATATATCTATTTATATATCTTATATTTATATTATGATAATAAAGAATATAACATAATTTTAAATGCAATTAAATAATATATTATTTAATTTTTCATTAAAGCACTAAAACAGATTATATTTGAACAAAGTATTGAGAGAGTTATAAAATGATTTTGAACAATAACAAAACAAATTAAAAGAAAATAAAGACAAAACAAAAAATTAGAAAAATAAGTAGGTAGATCTACGAGAGAAGAATAATGAAAAATGGAGAAGGTAATGGAAAAGAGATGTTAGATATTTAATAACCTGTTAAAAAAGATTAGAAAACAAATAAAAAATAGCAAAAGATGCAATTAAAAGAAAAGAAATTATAAGAATTATGGACAATATACATATATATAAATAAGGGAAATAATAAAAAGAATAAAAATAATTTTAAAAATTATTTTCAAAAAATAACAAATTATGAAACAAAAATAAACAAAACAACAATGAATCTGCATATGAAAGAGAGACAACGATAAATCAACAACTTCTTTCTACAAAAGCGGTTTTCATAGTAAAAATAATGAAATTAAAAATAAATATAGTAGAAAAACGAGAAAAATAGCGGAATTGTAAAACTAAAAAACACCATTATGAAATAATGTCAGAAGAAGCAAGAAAATTAAGGGACATTTTATAAAACTTCTATTATTATACATTATTTAAGTTATTGTTACATTTGCGACGTTCATAAAACATGTATTTTAAAACATTCCATAAACGTTTCATTTGGAATGTTTAGTTTGTAACCTTAGAGACATGACAGCAATGTTACATTTGCTACGTTCATAAAACATATATTTTAAAACATTCCATAAACGTTTCATTTGGGATGTTTAGTTTCAGAGACATTACAGCAATGTTACATTTGTGACATTCCTGAAACATTTAATTTCATAATATTCTATGAACGTTTTATATGAAACATTTACTTTGTAACATATTCAAAAATCACTGCATTGCAGATTTTATATTTGTGTTTGTACAATTGTTTTTGTACAATTGTGTTACATCAACGTTTTTGAAATAATAACACAAAAGCTTTTTAGTAAATATCAGGTAATGTACGTATATATACATATACGTATGCATTGCATTAATAATTTGTGTTTGTATACATGTGACAGTTATTTACGTTTTTGAAATGTTTTTTTTTTTTTAGTAAATATCAGGTACATAACATGTAGGTACGTATACGTAAATATATACACAATGGGGGATATTTAAAATAGTTTTTGTTTAACGTTTCATGCAAAACATAGTTAAGTAAACAAAAGTATAGTTTCATATTTTTATTTAAAAAATGTACAAATATTTAATTGAAATATTTATAAATAATCGTGTTTTATACATATATGTACTCAATTTATCTTTGCGACAGTCGAAAAAAATATTTCACTCGTGGTGACTTAAAAAAAATCTATTGTAACATATTTACTATACCACAAATATCTCATACATGTTCCAAGAATGTTTTAGGAATCTATAATAATCACCGCTCGTTCGTTAGCAACGAGTTGATACGCGTAACTAGGGAGCGCGGCGTTTCGTCTCAGGAGCTTTCGTATGTGAATAAGAATACCCAAATATAATAATAAGACAATTGTGTTTGTTGGGCTTTATTGGAGGTTTTATAAGTCGTTTTATAATTAAATTTTAAATTCATCTTTATTTATAACTGGAAGCAATGGATCTGCCTGTTGGTGACGTTCGAGATTCCTGCCATGTAAGTATATATTGTGTATATATATATATATTATTTTAATAACGTTAAATACCATAAATTTGATGCAAAATGTAGAAATAGTATTACCTTTTAACATAAACATTGATGGTTTACCGATATCTAATTCTTCAAAAAGTCAACTCTGGCCTATTCTTATCTCCATAGATCTAAATCTGGTTGATAAAAATATTAAAAAACCTTTTGCGGCTGGGATATATCACGGACACAAGAAACCAGCCTATGTAGACCAATTTTTAACTGAGTTTATAACAGAGTTCAAACATTTAGAACAAAATGGTTTTAACATAAATAAAAAAATAATAAAAGTAAAGGTTGGTAAACTTTTTTGTGATGCTCCTGCAAAATCATTTATTTTATGTATTAAAGATCATACAGGCTATAATGCCTGCACAAAATGCATTCAAGAAGGGACCTTTGTTAATGGAAGAATGACTTTTTTACAAACAAATGCACAATTGCGGACTGATTTCAGTATCAGAAATAAATTAGATGAGGAATTCCATAAAGATACAAGTCCTTTCGAAAAACTAAATATTGGTTTCGTATCTCAAGTTCCTCTCGATGGCATGCATCTTGTATTTCTAGGCGTAGTTAAAAGATTAATTATGTTTTGGATAAGAGGGAAAAAAAATCATCGTTTACCCGAGACTGATAAAAATGATATTAATAATCAATTATTGTTTTTGAAGAATTATGTGCCGAAAGATTTTCCACGCTTGCCAAGAAGTTTAGAGGACATTGAATACTATAAAGCCACTGAATTAAGGCAATTTTTATTATACACCGGACCAATTGTTTTAAAAAAGATTGCAAACAAAAATATATACACACATTTCATGGCCTTATCCTGCGCTATTCGAATTTTATGCAGTCCTGCATTATACAGAATTTATAATAATTATTCATTGAAACTACTCGAATACTTTGTTCAAAAATATGCAATACTTTACGGAAAAGAATATATTACTCATAATGTTCATGGCCTTATACATTTGCCCATAGATTGCTTGCAACATGGTCCACTTGACACTTTCAGTTGTTTTAAATATGAAAATTATTTATTTGAGATAAAAAAAACAATTCAAGCTACAAGAAATCCTTTACAACAAATTTGTAATAGGTTAAAAGAACAAGAATATATGCAAAACAATGATAATGAAAAAACGTATCCAATTTTACGTCAGCAATGTACTGATCAATTTCATAAACAAGATTTTATATTCTACAAAACAGTAATCATTGAAAAGTTTGAACTAAGCACATGTGATAAAGATAATTGCGTTATGTTAAAAAACAATTGTGTATTTTGTGTCGAAAGTATTTATAAAGAAATCAAGACTTCAAAAATCGTTTTAAAGGGAAGAAAATTCATTGAATCAAAACCATTTTTCAGTTCACCTTGTTCCTCAGAATTATTTAATATTCAGCAAACACAACATTTGTCATATGATTTGTACACAGTCAATATTCACGACATTAAAGGGAAATGTGTGAAATTTCCTTACGACGATGGTTTTATCATCATGCCATTGATTCATATGCAAGAATAATATAAAATATAATATAATTGCAAATAATAGTTTAGGTATTTTGTAGTAGGTACGAGTATATCATATTATAACATTATAATAATGTTTATTAATTGAAAATTAAATGGTTTATATGCTTTGCAGACTTGGTCAGTGATTGAATTTATCAATATAGAAGGCCAATCAAACGCTGTGGAAGTTGTACCAACCTCATGGATGACATTTACAAATGATCAAATAATGTGTAAATGGCCGGAAAAAAATGTTAGGAAATATATATTACGGAAAGAACCCCCAAAAGACAATTGGCAAAAATACATAGTGCAACTAATATTTCAAAGTAGTAAGTATTGTCATAAAAATATTGATAGTATATAATAAGATAATATCTTAATTAAACATGTTTTATATTAAAAAAATGACTTTTTCGTATTTAATATATCAAATCATAACTTCCCAATATTTATGAATACGGTTATGGAAAAGACTTATATAAATCATGTAATACAAATGTATGTATATATATAGACAATTAATAAAATAATTTGTAATTACAGATTCATATAAGGAAGCTATAGATGTTGTACATAAAAAAATTCGAACCGATACATCAGATACATCATGTTCGCAATTAGGCCGAGGGAAAAGAAAAAAGAAAACATTCCAACCAGTTACAGCAAACAACTTAAATGATGACGATTCAAATCCGCGAATGACACCATCTCCGTTAATGACTGTCATGGATTTGCATTTAGAAAATGAACAGTTGACAAATGGTATAACAATAAATAAATATATTGTTATATTCTTGTATATTCGATTATTATATTTGAGAGAAGGAGAACCGGAGTTAATGATTCGAACACTTTTAACCACAGAACTATTTATTAGTTAGAACACAATCGGAGTAACCGGAGCTTATAAACGGAGCATCCGCTCGCTACGCGCCTGTCCTGGTCTCTGCGACAGCGGGAGACGATGACTCGGCTAAAAGCCGGGCTTTAGACGATATTCGGGGGTAAACTAGAACGATAACGCCGAAAGGTGTCACGATTAGGCTCCTTTACCTCGCGGCGCGCAACTCTCCATATACATCTTAAATACATAACAGCTCTTCCCCCTGTGAAATTGAACTGAGTGTCTTAACAATTTTATCATAACTTCGCAGCTACAATTTTACTTAAAACTAATATATAATTTTTCTTGTATACACCTTAAATTTGCGATAAATATATACCGTACCTATCAGGCGGTTTTCTATAACGTTGAGGTCGGCCCTCATTGTTTTCGTTTACATTTTGTTCCAAACTTATTTTTGATTTACGCGTGCGTGTGTCGTCGGCTCTTGCAGCTTCCTCTTCCTCGGATTCCGTTGTATTGGGATTTTCGGAGTAGCAACTCGAGCTGGCAGGGTCAGAGTTTTTGTGCACAGTTTTCGCTTGCTCGTTATCGCTTGGAGTTAGAACATCCCGTGCTACCTCGACTGGACCATAATGGTCAGCCTCACCAAGGTTATTCGCCTCATCAATCGGGGCACTAATTTTCTCTCCTATTTTCCTTATTTGATCTGAGTGACGTTTCCAAATTTTTCCGTTGTCTAATTTAACTGAGTAATGTAATTTCCCTAGCTTAGCTAATACTCTCCCAAATCGCCATTTTACGTTTTTGTTTAAATATTCTCGCACGGCGACTCTTTTGCCTTCTTTAAAATTTCTTACAACTATTATATTTTCCATTTCAATTTCTTTATTAGTTTTCGGGAACATTAAGTCCAATCTGCTTCTTAATTTACGGTTATACATGGCTTCCGCCGGAGATTTATCTAATTCTGCATGAGGTGTTACTCTATACTGAAATAGAAATTTCTGTAGATTGGTCTTAATGTTGCCATTACTAATATTTAATTTTCGTAGTGATTTTTTTAACGTTTGTACGAAACGTTCCGCTAAACCATTTGTAGCAGGATGGTAGGGTGCTGTGCGCTTATGGTATTATATATTCCGTTTATTCTAAGAAAATTTTCGAATTCTTCTGCAATAAATGTTCGCCCGTTGTCCGACACTAGGACTCGTGGCAATCCGAATTTTGCGAATATTTCCCTACATTTTTCTATCGTGTTTTGGACGGACATGTTTTTTACAATGTGAACTTCAGGCCATTTTGTGTACGAGTCGACCAATACTAGAAAAGTGTGGCTCATAAACGGCCCCGCGAAATCTATATGTACGCGCTCAAAAGGTTCTGACGCCGCTTCCCAGGCGTGTTTAACTTTGATTCTTGGATTATTTAAAAACGTGGCACATGCTTTACAATTTTTAGTTATTTCTTCTATTTCTTTGTCTATTTTTGGCCACCAACAAAAATTTCGACTAAGTTTTTTCATTTTTACCGTTCCAAAATGCCCTGCGTGCAATTCTTTTAATACTTTACTTCTTAAGCTTTTCGGGATAGCTATTCTCTCTTTTCTAAACACGATACCATCCTGCAACGCAAACTCGCCATCATTATAACCCAGCGGAACTAAACTTTTGCCTTTTATCAAGGTTTGACGAATTTTTAATAATAACGCATCTTTATTTATTTCATCTCTAATACTTTTTGCAGTTACCGGTAATGTTTCTACGTTTTCCATTTGCAATACATCAATTACGTCGAATTTTCCTACGCTTTTCTCTTGTATGGGCAATCGTGAGAACCCATCTGCATTACAATGATCTATGGATTTACGATACTTTATATCAAAATTAAAAGCCTGCAAAAACACGGCATAGTGCTGCATGCGCAGTGCACTGTATGCCGGAAGGCCTTTTTGCGGGTTTAAAATTTGTGCCAACGGCTTATTATCCGTTAAAAGCGTAAAATGATTTCCATACAAAAATTGATGGAATTTTTTAATCCCGAAAACAATTGCAAAAGCCTCCTTATCAATCTGCGCGTATTTCTTTTGCGTTTCATTTAATGTGTTTGACGCGTATTGAATTACGCGTTCTGTACCATCGGGGTACATGTGTGAAAGGACTGCACCTATTCCGTACGGACTGGCATCCACAGCGAGTATCAATGGCAACTTTGGGTTAAAAGGCACTAAAATTTTTTTACTTCCGAATTCTACTTTAATTTTTCTGAAAGCCGTCTCACATTCTTTCGACCAATTAAATTTTACATTTTTCTTTAGCAGATTATTTAACGGGTACATTTTATCACTTAAATGTTCGATGAAGCGTCCGTAGTAATTTACTAATCCAATAAAAGCGCGAAGTTGCGTCGTATTAGTTGGCCTTGGCATCTTTTGGACTGCTTCAATTTTTTTAGGTTCTTTTGAAATTCCGTTTTTGCTAATTATATATCCGCAATAGGATATTTTATCTTTAAGAAAAGCGCATTTCTCTACATTAATGCGAATATTATATTCTGATAATCTTTTCAAAACAAGTTCTAATCTCTCGCAGTGTTGTTTTATGTCTTTACCGGCAATTCTAATATCATCTAAAAATATAGCCACCCCGGGTATTCCGCACAGTATATTTTCCATTGTCCTTTGCCATATCGCGGGTGCAGATGCCACTCCGTACATTAATCGGTTGCATTTATATAGACCTTTATGTGTACTTAATGTTAAAATCTCTCTATCAGATTCCGCGACCGGTAACTGCAAATATGCTTGTTTTAAATCTATTTTTGAAAAAATCGTGCCTCCCGACATAGATGCGAACAATTCTTCCATTGTGGGCAAGGGGTGCTCATCTATAATTAAAGACGGATTGACTGTTATACTGTAGTCACCGCAAATTCTAATTCCGCCGTTTTTTTTTAAAACCGGTACGATTGGCGTTGCCCAATTCGAAGACTCGACTTTTTCCAAGATGCCTGCTTTTACCATATTTTCTAATTCTCTTTTGACTTTTTCTAAAATTTTAAAGGGTACCGCACGATTTTTTATAAATACAGGCTTTACATTTGGTTTTAATTTTAGATGAGCTTGAAATTTATTAATATTTGCAAATTCGTCACTTAGTACGTTTCTATATTTTTCTAATAAATTAGCCAACCGTTCTTGCCCGGACGCGTCGAGAGTATGCACGTCTTCTATTTCTAAGAGACTATCTTTAATTTTCTTTAACATTTTCAACTGATTAATCCACTCCCGGCCCAACAATGGATCTCGATCGTATTTAACCACGTACATATTTAATATTTTATTTTCATTTATATCTTTGACTTTTACTTTAATAAATCCGAGAGGCACGAAATTTTTCTTACAATAAGAGCGCAGTTTCAAACGCGTATTATATAATTTTAAATTTGGAAACGTTTCTCTACGCCATATATCGCTCACCAATGTGACCGCTGAGCCGCAATCTACGTCGAATGTCACTCTCTTGCTTTCTATTTGAAGCGGAACCGTGTACTTTTCCCTGTGCTCGAGATGCTCTCTGTCATCCACACGGAACACCTCTTCTAACAGGTGGGCCTGCCCTTTCTTCTTACAAACTTTTTGGAGATGCCCAAAACCTCCGCATTCTCTACATTTAGTGTTCCGAGGAAGGGTACAGCTTGGCGCCAAATGAGCCTGACCACACCTATAACAAACAATATCATTAACTTTCGAGTTCGAACGCTTATTATTTGTATACTTATGATGTTTGCCAAGATTGGAATGCTTCGAAGTCGCTGCGTCCTTCCTCGACCCTTGTTGTTGATTTCCTCTGTTTCCAGTACGATCATCACGGCCCTTTGTCTTCTTCTGTTTTGCTCCAGCTCCAATGTAGTCAACGGTCGTTTCCGATAGATGATTTTCTTCTTTTAGTTTATTAACGCCCTTCTCCGCCATTTCCATTCCGCATGCGATTTTTAATGCGGAGTCCTTCGTGAGATTCGCCGTCTCCAACAACCTCGATTGAATCCGATGATTCCTTAAGCCGAATACGAATTGATTCCGTAGTTCCATTGGTAGATATTCTCCAAATTTGCAGTGAAGCGATAATTTCTGGAGAGCCGCCATGTATTCCTGGACAGTCTCCTCTGTACGTTGCATACGCTTCCGATAAATATATATCTCGGCTATCTCTAGTGGCTCGGGCGCGTAAAATTCTTTTAATTTTCCAATTAACGTCTCATACGTTTGAGTATATGGATCGATAGGATCCAGTCGGTCGCACAAAATCCCGAACGGTTCTACGCCTACGAAATGTAGCAAGTAAGCAACACGTTCTGCGCCTTCCGAGATTTGAAACACTCGAAAGGCACCTTCAAGTCGCTGCAGCCAACGAATTAACGGCTGCCGCTGCGGGTCGAAAACATCGACTTGCAAAGGGTTTGCAATTGCTACCTTTGCCGGTGGATTTTGTCCCGATACCGGGCTTTGCGTACCTGAGCCTGAACTCGTCGTCGCCATCTTCTCTTAATTTCCTCCTTCTCGGCAAATCACTTCCTCTGTTGCGTAGTTTCTCGAACACTGTCGCCCATTCGGCTCTGGCAAAACTCTCGCCACGAATTCCACGTGGCTGATTTTCACTACGCCTACTAGGATCCCATCCTCGTCGCCAGCTGTTATATTCTTGTATATTCGAATATTATATTTGAGAGAAGGAGAACCGGAGTTAATGATTTGAACACTTTTAACCACAGAACTATTTATTAGTTAGAACACAATCGGAGTAACCGGAGCTTATAAACGGAGCATCCGCTCGCTACGCGCCTGTCCTGGTCTCTGCGACAGCGGGAGACGATGACTCGGCTAAAAGCCGGGCTTTAGACGATATTCGGGGGTAAACTAGAACGATAACGCCGAAAGGTGTCACGATTAGGCTCCTTTACCTCGCGGCGCGCAACTCTCCATATACATCTTAAATACATAACATATATATATTATTTTTATAAATCTTTAACATTATTTTTTTAACTTGCAAATAAAGTAATGCTTAATAGTGTAATTTTTTATACATTTAGATTTGATTAATGATGATAACCAAAACTTGGACAAGGATATCGAAAATATGGATGAAACAGCAATAAACGTGAGTGAAAATAAAAAGAATAATATTGCCTCTGAAGACCATGTAACTTCTGATGAAGGTATAAACAAATAATTTTTGGTACAATAAGGTATTAAACAATACAAGTCGATTTTAAGTAATCCCGTTTAATATATATATAGTGTCTATTAATTTATTAATTTAATATTAAATAAATACAATAATGATACTAAAAATTTCCATTATTTAGATCCTAAAGATGCTGTTAATCCAGTAAATAATATGATACCAACCGATATCATTTTTGAAAATTTTCCAGCAGGTAATCATTCATATTTATTGTTCTTTTGTTTATAGTAATATAATTTGTAAATT